TAAATTTTGAAATTGCAAACGATTCTTACATATTAAAATGACTTTATTTGGTTTTATGAGATGAAATTCAAAATATATCTACCATTTTGAATTTGAAAAAAAGAAAAACAAATACAAACTAATCAAGCAAGATTGCGCCATTGTGTGCAATTTTTGCATAGAGAAGACTGGAATCTAGTTCTTAGCATTCAACTCTTTATAGTTGAAAGTTTAGTTCAATGGTTTTTAGGGCCTGTTCATATGATCCCGCTTACCGGGACGTCTCGCTTACCGAGACGAATATTTCCGTGCGTTCATACTTCATATGGAATATTTCGTCCCGCTTGCCGAGATGAAATTACATTGTGGTTCTATAATTAATAGCGTATGCAAAACTTCTGCATTTTAGTCAAGCAACACAAATACTTAGCGATTTTAGTTATTTAATACTTGTTTACAAAACAAACATAAAACCAAGTAAAAAGTGTTAAATTAAACCGGCAAGACTTGTTTGACTTCATCCAGGTAAGCGGGCTGGCGTGTTCATATGGAAAAATTTTCATCCCGCCTACCTATGATCTCGGAAAATTCAAACGAGATCTCGGCAAGCGGGCCAGGTCGCTTTCAGTTTCTCATATGAACACAATGCAAAATTTTATAGGAAAATAGGTAGGCGGCGAGATCATCGGTAAGCGAGACGTCCTGGTAAGCGGGATCATATGAACAGGCCCTTAGTGACTCCGCTGAACGGAATGATTGCAGTCAATGGTTTACACCTGAAAAAAAAACATGGCGGAAAATGTTTCAAAAAAGGTATTTTTTATCTACATTTTACAATAATATATAAATATTATTGCATTTTTACTTTTACATGTTTATATCATTCATTAATATGATATTTTTGTATAACGTTTTCCTGTTTTGTATTGAATGCCAAAATACGCAAAACACGCTATACACGCGATGTGACTTACGAAATGTTTGAATCTGAGTGTTTCATTCTATTCGAACTTGGTTTATTCTTTATTGTCGAAATATTCGGCTGCTTCATTCTAACACAGATATACTCCGTTATAACCAAGACATATATAGCCACTTCCTAGGGGGCATAGCATAGCTACAAGTAGCTACAGGCAATTATTGTGGCTTTTCTCCGAAGAAATAAACGATTTGCATGGGTTCACAATCCGCAATCCGCATCCGCAATCTGCATCCGCAATCTGCATCCGCAATCCGTATCCGCAATCCGTAATCTGCATCCGCAAACCGCACTCCGCAATCCGCTACCCGTAAAGTCTACGTACCATGCCAAAAAAGTTTGTGTTTTTTTTTCAAAAAAAGATTTTGATTTTGATCCAGTCCTCCAGTATTATCATGTGGGCAAAATAAAGCAATTGGTTGGCTAATTTAGATAGCGAGATAATTGAGATAGCATAATACAGTCTGCACACTGGCTACTATAACCTGACCAATTTTTTCAGCTTCTATTGTCTGTCCAATGAAATAAGTAATTTTTCACTGCTCTATAGTTTTAACTACGAAATTAGGATAAATTAACTACGAAACCCGAATCCTTGTCGGTGCATGCAAATAATATAGTTTTTTGCCATGCAAACAAACGAAAAACTTACGGTTATAAGTAATATCAACCATTTTCTAATTGTTCTTTACAGCAAAATGATTTCTGCCCTTGGACGACCGTTTGACTTGGGGATGCTTTACGACCGTCGTTCAGACAAGTTAATTCTTGGCAAAACGTTATGGTCTCCTGATCACTTGAATGCCGCCCGTAACACTATACCTGTACCATTTACTAATTCCGAAGTATTCACGGAAAACGCAATTCAAGATAAAGCTAGTGCTCTTAACATAGAAGCAAGCCTAAAGTTAAGCTTTCTTTCTGGGCTAGTGAATGTGGAAGGAGCGGCAAAGTATTTGAATGATACCAAAACATCGAAGCGACAATCTCGTGTCGTGCTGAAATATGAAACAACAACGGAACTTAAACAGCTGACAATGGA